ATATTTTTTTTCTAATTTAGATGTCATGGAATCCAGATACAAAATGGTCAAGCTTCTTGTAGACAACCTCATTCAAGGCCAACTCATTGTGAGCCCAAGGAAAAAATACAAACAGCAGCTAAGTTTGCAGTTTAGGATAACTTCATTCTAATCTACTGTTACAGTTACAACAAGATTTTAATAAAAAAATCAATTTTATTTAACTGTAATTAACCCCTTCACTCCCAAGAGTGCTTGGTTTTCAAATATAATTTAAGATATTGTATTTTATGAAAGAGAATCCACAGACTTTATTCACAATTTGTGTCAAACAAATTTAATGATTGATTAGGACTATTTTATATGAATAGCTGTGATTGAGGATTAATCCATATGAAGTTTTCAAGAAAGGAAAAATAAATCAAATTCCATCCTAATATTACTAGATGTTGATGTTAATAATTAATCAAAAATATATTACACATAGACCTAAATTAAGCTTGTAACTAAAGTTCATTGAATACTTGAATTTTAGCTGGGGTTTTTTAATTTAAAGTATTTATTTTATAAAATTAGCCTCAAATTTTGGCTTAAAATTCCCAGTAATTCTTAAACATTCCTAGAAATTCCTGAAAATTCCTAGAAATTCCTAGGAATTTTTTAGATTTACAGCTTTTCAGGGAAAGTCATTGGTGCTCTGAGTTGGAATTCCTAGGAATTCCAAGTCCAGTTGGCTATAAACTTGGAATTTCTGGGAATTTCTGGGAATTTCTAGGAATTTCTAGGTTTTTAGAACCAGAGTTGTTATGATTGGGAATTCCTAGGAATTCCTAGGAATTCCCAGTCCGAATTTACTGTGAAAATTCACACCTTTATTCCTAGGAATTCCTAGGAATTCCAAAATCCATTTGGCAAGGGTCAGTTCATAAATTTCTCTTCTTCATGGAAAGTCAGCTCTGTTTCTACTGTGTTGTGTCCATATATATCACCCCTCCCTATCAAGATGAAGATTTAGTGATGTTGGACAGAGACCAAGATCATTCGGGGATATTCAGCTATGAAGAAAATAAAATAGACTTGAACTTGGTTATCATTATCAGATTAGGTTTTCAGGTGTACGTGTATGCAAATGTCTTTACTTTTTGGCCATGTTGTTTTGCTACCATGTCCAAGCTATATAAGATAACCCTTGCAAGAGAACAAAATAACACACCCTATATTGCTAAAAACATAATGATATCAGTTTTAACAAAGGATGAAATTTATCCTGTAAATTTTGGCTATAGTGATCACACAGAGTTAGTTTGACACTTTTAAAATATGTATTTGAAATACTTTTAGAACAAGGTTCTTCAGACTACCTGTAGTATGAATACTACCGATGATATACCAAAATCTTTCATACTCAAATGAAGGTACACAAGAAAGTCTACTGATCTCACTAAGTACTGGTACCTAGCATGGGTAATCTGTAGGGACTCAAGACACAACCATTTCTTCTGTGACAGAATCAAGAATTTTGCATATGACTGTCATGTCTCAATGAAAGATAAGTAGATCCAAGTAGATCTCTCAAGAAGAAACTTTGCTAAGACAATGCCAGGTACCTAGAAAAAGAAAGAAAACACCACTACAGTTCTCATTCCTAGGTTTGCAGTACATCTTGTCACTTCTTACTGTTGATTCACAGAGGATGGCAATTTACAGTGTTCGATTTTTAAATCCAGTTAAAAAGCTAAGGCAAGAATGTTTCCTTTACTGCCTTTTAATTGTTGCTTTCAGTAGAACTTCATTTGGATGAGAAACAACACGGTACAGGAGAGCCTAATTTGGGATTTGGAGATATTTGGCACAATATGATTAAAAAATTAATAGGAGTTGAATCAATTGGCTGCTACATTAACTTAAGAAAACCAGATATTTTAAGCATTGGCCCCCACCCTTGTTGATCTGAGAGCGCAAGTAAGATTGAAATGCCTGATATCCTCAGTCGCTTAACTTCTAAATTTCTCTCAATTGATTTTCTTGCTCATCAACCAAGTATTTTTGCTATTCTCTAAAGCAGTATAAAACTTTCCTTAGAAATTAAATTACCAAAAGGATTTGATTCAGTGCTCAAGGTAATTATTGACTTTTGGTTCTCCAAGGAAGGGTGCTTACTCAAAACGGTATCCAGTCAAGTCGCCGACGGTTCAACTCGCCAACGCCAACGCCAACTCGCCGACGTATAAAATCGAGTAGAAACGTCGGCGAGTTGGTCTTCAATCCAGTATTGAACTTATCAGAAGTTAGACATAGAAAAGTAAAAGATCTTTAGGAAAAATCAATTTTTTTCTTCCAGCAAAGTTTATAAGGATCTCATGACGAATAAAGCGAGGTAAATATCGCCAATGACTAAGAAAGCTTCAGACGCCAACGAGTTATTGTGTGACAACAATGCTGAAAAGTCTCATCATTTCAATCGGTCAGATTTTTTTAAAGAAAACTTGGCTTTCTAGACGAGATCTTTCGTAAAAAACAATTCTTTTTATTTCCAACAAAGTTTATAAGGATGTCAAGGCGAATAAAGCGAGGTGAATATCGCCAATGACCGAAAAAGCTTTAAACGCGAACGAGTTATTGTGTGACAGCCACCGTCATTCTAGATTCACGCTTCGGTAGCTCACTTTTGAAGGAGTTTACATTTGGTCCGTCTTAATACCGGGCTATGCCGGTGAACGGCAAACATTTTCTAAACGCTTTTGCAACACAAATACGATTAGTATTTAACCAGAAGCTGACCAGAATCCAAAGAAGGGCTAATAGGCGATTGCAGAGTAAGGTGTTTGGATTTTGGGAGAAATATGAGAATGGTAAAAAAACAGCGGCTCAGTTATTGAAATCGATGTCGAGATTAAACGGACCCCCAAGAGCAGAAAAATAGCACGATGTACACATCAAATTTTATCGTAAATCAAACGTTCTCGATCATGGATAAATCATTCTTTAAAGTTAAAAAAACATGTGGTTCCGCGTGGTTGCTATGTTTCACACAAGAACTCGTTCGCCTCTGAAGCTTTAATAGTCATTGGCGATGTTCACCTTTCTTTATTCGCCTTGACATCCTTGGAAATAAAAATAATTATTTTTTACTAAAGATCTTGTCTACAAAACCAAGTCTTTGTTTGAAATCTGACCGATTGACTTGATGAGTCTTTACAGTGTTGTTGTCACACAATAACTCGTTCGCGTCTAAAACTTTTTTGGTCATTGGCGAAGTTCACCTTGCTTTATTCGCCTTGAGATCCTTATAAACTTTGTTGGAAATAAAATAATTTTTTTTAACTGAATATCTTGTCCAGAAAGCCAAGTTTCTTAAAAAAAATCTGACTGGTTGACATAATGAGAGATTTACAGTGATTTGAGATTTACAGTGTCGTTGTCACGCTCAATAATATCTCGTTCACGTCTGAAGCTTTCTTAGTCATTGGCGATGTTTCCCTGGCTTTATTCGCCATGAGATCCTTATAAACTTTGTTTGAAGAAAAAAATTGCTTTTTCCCTAAAGACCTTTTACTTTTCTATGCGTTTAACTTCTAATAAGTTGTACCGGATTGAAGACCAACTCGCCGACGTCTCTACTCGATTTTATACGTCGGCGAGTTGAACCGTCGGCGACTTGACACTTAATTCCTCAAAACAGGGTGCTCATTTTCTTTTTCAGAAATAGCAAAATGGGTGAAACAAAGCTTTGATGGCTACTTGGAAAGAATCAATACCAAAGGAAAATGGAGCTGTTGCCCTTGAATCCTTCTTGGCTAGAGTAAACAGCCAAGCAATCATCACAAAATTCTGAGACAAAATCATTTGTTTGAAGAAACTGTGCACTCAAGTGAACTTAATAGTTGAGATACTGAAATGAAGACCACTGTTTTGAAATGAGGCTCTACATGTGCAATTAAAGAAAGATGACCCATTGTTAATCTTAGTGTACATGTACTCTGCAGTGCTATCACTGAAACAGAAGAGGAGTGCTTATTGGTACAGGGGTAGTTATTGGGATGAGAGTGCTTATTGAATAGGCACGCTTATTAACAAAAACAAGTAAGGGGTGCTTATTAGAGAGGGGGCACTTATTAGAAAAAGGGTGGTAAATTAAATTATGGTAGGTTCCCAATCTCTTGTTCTCTGTCAGATTCCTATTTCTCTATCACATAACTGTCTTCTTTGTTTCTAGAACATACTTCCAACTACTCCATCTCCGCCCTCTACCGAACTTACCCCACCCCACCCATTTCTAAAGCTGAGTTTGAAAGGCTGACTCACACTTACTGGAAAGTCACTGCTGCAGGTCCATGTCACAAGCTTTTTATATTTATTCAAAACCAGTTTCTATAAATTGTTTACACATTATGTCACCCTGACTTGTTGCCTACTATGTCCCAAGTGCAAAGTTTTCAAAATTCCTCACCCTATAACATAGTCCACTTTGCTTGAAATTTTATTACAACCAGACAGGAAAGACCTCCAGGTCTTCTGGAAAGTATAACAATTCATCTGCTACTCTGTCTAGGATGGAATCTGTGACTGGGTGTCCTTTCTTCTCTAAATCGACTTTAGCACACTTTTTCACCTGAGATCTCTCCATCGGCAAAAATGGAATAGAAAAAATCTATGACATCTTTTTCAATTAGAGAGGAAAGCAAAATCCTCCCTTGTTATTAAATTCACAGAGAGTGAGAACTCAGTCCATCTATTTGATCTTGATGTCTTCTCGTTTGTTTCCGTCTTTCCAGTGTTGTAGAGCAGCATCGTTGATAAGTTGACCCCCCATATTGCTAAGGAATATGAAAATTGACGGTAATCAATCTTGCCTTCATCAGGAGGGTAGTAATCTTAGAAGGCCTACTGTCAATTTGTCCATTCCGTCGAAGATAAATAGCGATATGGGCACTTTGATACAGAAACTATCGCTTGATTTCGCAGCTCTTGCTTGTAAAAGTCTACTTCGGACTGACGAGGGAATTCATAGGTAGCTATGATCAGATGAACATAGTCACTCTCCAAATTCCTTCATTGATTTTGCTCACTAAGTTCTGTACTGATCCTATCCAGCCATTGAAGGAAATAGCTAACACTTTTTCAGGCGACTTATTGTTCAAATGTCCAACAAGAGCCTTTAAAACGGTGTCGGTGACTAAGTGTTGACCAAAAACACGCCTCCGAAGGGCTGACTGTAAACCCGTTATGTTGGGCTTAATCCACTTGTTCTTACAGCATTCAGTGAAATGACGATAAATTTTAGGCCCCAAGTAACCACCTACAAGAACAGCACCTCCAACAATACCTTCTATGAGAACAGCGCTTATCGTAGGTGCACACAAAATTGTCATCAGCAACACTAGTCTCCCTATGTTTCCATAATTCTGCAGAAGTGACGAGCACTCTAATGCGCGTTCAGGTGTTTTAGAAAACTTTCGTGATATTAAGTACAGCAATTTTCATTGGTTAGTCTCAGTCAATTCACCAGTGACATTCCTTGTTAGGGTAAATAATGTAGGCAAGTCGCCACCGGGGGTCCTTTTTCCAAGAACCGCGCGCTTTGTCTGCTTGTAGGTTTTCAAAAAAATTCCTTCTTATTTAGTACAACAATTTTCATTGGTTAGTCTCAGTCAATTCACCAATGACATTCCTTGTTAGAGTAAATAATGTGTACAAGTCGCTGCCAGGGGTCCTTTTTCCAAGAACCGCGCGCTTTGTTTGCTTGTAGGTTTTCAAAAAAATTCCTTCTTATTTAGTACAACAATTTTCATTGGTTAGTCTCAGTCAATTCACCAATGTCATTCCTTGTTAGAGTAAACAATGTATACAAGTCGCTGCCAGGGGCCCTTTTTCTGGGAACCGCGCGCTTTGATAAAGCACAATCAACTCTGAGAACCTGAGAGTTTGAAAGCATCATTTACTTAATATTTTTGCTAAGACGATGTCTTCCAAAGAGGTTAGAGATAAACCTGAGAAAGGTAAAAAAATGGAGGAACGTAATACACTCACTGAAGCAATAATTGGCAGAGATAATCATAGAGGGGAAAACACACCTGCTCGTGAATCTGTAAAGACACCGCCAGTTAAGTGGGAATTACCTAACCCTGACCTGAAAGATGGCAAAAGCGATCAGACACTTGCTGGCGAATGTTCGAAAAAAGACGAGCAGCAATCAGGTCCTGAGAGAGAGCAGCATCCCGGTACTAAGTCGCAATCAAGTTATTTTCCCCTTATGGGAATTTTCCTCGCCGCCGCAGTTGCATGTATTGCTATAGCTATCTTCCTTGGTCCTCCGAAGAACGACATGAAAACTGAATTTGACCAAGAGAGAGTTTTTAGAAATGGGCTTGAAAATTTACAGTTGTCATTCATTAATCAGACCGACCGGTTCTGGAAGATTTTAAGAAGTCGCGGATTGGCTCATCTACGGAATAAGGATCCCTCACGACCAGTGTTCTTACTGGCTGCACCTCCAACAGCACATGAATGGGTGGATTGCCTGGCCATTAAACTGGAAGAAATGCTGGATCCAAGACAAAAATACTTTGGCTCGATTTTATGGTGAAAAAGAGAAGGCAAATCCTCCAGAAGAGACAAAAATAAGGATGGACAATTTCCTGAAGGAAAAAATTGAGGCTCTTCACAGGGTAGTACTCATCCATCACCTTGAACTTTTCCCACCACCCTCACAACTTTTGTTTCACTCTTATTGTGATGATCAAAATGCACCATTTAAGCACTTAGCCATTATTTTTACTGTACATATGCCAGTAGAGTCCAGCCCATCTCTGTCTCCTAAAGAAGCAGAGGAAAGTGTAAAGAAATATCTTTTAGGTGATGTTTGGGCAAAGGATGATAGGGATGCAGTTGCCACCCTCCTGGTCCACATTGCTTACTCCATGGTGCTCGTGAATGGTGAAACTAGTGGTTCAGCAAGGGCCTTTTGTTCTTAATCCAGTAACTGTTAGCAGTGATTGGCAGGATGAATTAGTGAATCGTCATTTCTCTGTCAGACATGTAGGAGTTAACAGAATGTAGCATACGTAGAGTTTAGTCAACCAGGGGATGTTGTCTTGATTTAGCACTTAATTCTCAGGAGTAGCTGACAAAAAATATAAGGTTTTCAGGGAGGAGCATAGAATTTAGATCTAGAGTGTGAATTAAGGGACTATTATTTGTAAGCTGAAGTAAAATATGTTACAGTTGACTGCTTCCTTTTCATTATAGATAGTATGGACTTGCCTGGCTACTTTGGTTTGTTTTATGTGTAATGTCACAAAGTAAGAACTATATTGACTATTCACAGAATACAATGGATGGTTTACAATGCATGCAATTCAACAACTCAATTAGCCTTTTTTGTGAGTTAGTCAAAGCTAGACCTTTCATATACATGTTAATTTTAGGCTGTGTGGCAAACTAACGATAGTCCAAAAGACTTGTCAAACTTAATTAATTGTGCCATTCACATTCCTTCAAACCCAGTAAAAATGCTAAGTGTTCACAACAACTTGATGTCATAAAGGGAATATTTTTGGGTCTGAACATTTATACTTTTGGGATGTTTATTTTAATTTGTGAAATTTTGAACAAGTTCATAGGTGTGACTCAGGTGTACTTTTAAGACTTAAAGCCGAAGGTAATAATTGCTTCTCTGGCAGTGAAATATTATGTTAACCTTTAGAATGATGTGCTGTAGTTCACAAAATCAAACCTGTCTCTCAGATCTGTCTTTTAATTTTTATTAATGGATTTTATGCATTGATGCATGGCAAAGGATGATATGGATGCGATTGCTGATCTCCTGGTCTGCATTGCAGACACAGTGGTGCATATGAATGGCAAAAATAGTGGTTCGGCAAAAAGGGCCTTTTGTTCTCAATCCATTAATTGTCAGCAGTGATTGGCAGGATGAGTTTAAGTGAATCATCATTACTCTGTCAGACATGTAGGATTTAACAGAATGTGGATGTTGTCTTGATTGAGCACTTAATTCTCAGGAGTAGCCCACAAAAAATATAAGGTTTTCAGGCAGGAGAATTAGAATTAAGATTTAGAGTGTGAAAGGACTCTTGCTTGTAAGCTGAGGTCAGATATGTAACTTTTTCCTTTTTATAATGGAAAGTTAATGAACTTGCCTGGCTACTTTGGTTTGTTTTCTGTAGAATGTCACTAAACAGGAACTATTAACTATTCACAGAATACAGTGGACGGATTACAGTGCATGCAATTCAGCAACTCAATTAGCATTTTTATGCCATGGTCAAAGCTAGACCTTCCATATATATGTAAATGTTAGGCTGTGTGGTAAACTCAAGGGCCCTAAAGGTAGTCCAAAAGACTTGTCAAATATGATAAAGATTGTGCTTTTCACCTTACTTCAAACCCAGTGAAACTGCGAAGTGTTCACAACAACTTGATGTTGTCAAGGGAACATTAATTTGGGTCTAAAAATTTGTGGTTTTGGGATATATATTTTGATTTGAGAAAATTGGACAATAACTTTGAGAGGTGACCTAGTTTTATTTACTAGGTTTAGTTTTAGGGCTTAAAGCTCAATATAATGATTGCTTCTCTAGCAGTGAAATATTATCCTGACCTTTGGAATAATGTGCTGGAGTTCACAAAAGCAAACTTGTCTCTCAGATCTTTCCTATAATTTTTAGTACCGGATTGCATGCATTGAATTTTAATTGTTTTTTTACTATTTGCAAGCACCCTCATTTCCACCACAGCTTAATAGCTATTTTTATTACAGAGCCCTCAGGTATTGTTATGATTTCAAATCAGGTAATATAAATTTATTAAAGTTTTGTCTCAGATCTCTATTTTACTTTTTAGAAATGGATCACATGCATTAATTTTTCTTTTTTACTATTTGCAAGTAGCCTCATAATTCCTCTATAGTTCAATGGCCATTTTCATTGCAGCTCTCACATATTATCATGATTTCAAATCAGGTTATATCAGGGGGTATTGAGTTAAGCCTTAATTTATGCTTACCCCATGAATAATTGTAACTTGGAGTTTTCCACTGACTCTACCACCATTTTTTTAAAGATCAGTTGTATAGTCATCCAGCTCTTTCCTATTTTTGATATTTTTTGGCTGGTGTCCTTTTGCAAGTTAATATAAAATATGTTTTGCCTTGATTTTTACTGGGTTTATTTTTCCGTCATTGCTTGATATATGTTCTTTTTAAAAATTTTCAAATTCTTATCTCCATTAACAATAGATCCCTTGAAAGAAGGGGAACAAGGTCTGATTAATGTATGACTAGAATTTGATTCAACATAGGAAATACTATCAAAATATGTTCTCCACAGTTGTTTGAAAAAATTTAATTTTGCACTAATCAAATGCCATTCTTTGCATATGGAAAAAGCCTGGCCAAGCATAAATGTACAAGCACCACTATCCGATTTGAAACTAGGGGCCAATTTTAGCCATTTGCATCCATTTAGGACACTAAAGTTCAATTTTGCATAATAGTGTCCAACTCTAGGCACAAGTGCCTGATTAAAATACTTGTGTTTGATTTTGGACTCCAGTGTCCCATGTAAGATACAAATGTCAGATTTAAGACACTAACATCCAGTTTTAGACCCTCTAGTGTCCAATTTTAGGCATAAGTATCTGATTTTCACACTATCTTCCAATTTAAGTACAAGTGTCTGATTAAAGACTTCCAGTGTCTGGTTTTAGTCATTAGTGTCCAATACAGGAAACTATATTGTTTGATTATGATTTGGAACGCAAGTGTCCAAGTTGAGACACTAGGGTCCAATATTAGACACTGGTGTCCAACTTAAGACAAAACTGCTCAATGTTAGGTACTAGTGTCCGATTTTAGGCACTAGTATCCAATTTTAGACACTAATGCTTGACTATGGACACTAGTGCTCAATTAAAGACACCCACAGTCAAGGGTTTGATGTAGATACTAGGATCTGATTTTTGACACTAGCCTCCAGTTTTAGACACTGGTGTCCAATTTTAGGCATTACTGTCCTACTTGAGACACCAGCATACAATTTAAGCACACATGTCTGATTTCAGTCACTGCTGTCCAATTTTAGACACAGGTGTTGATTTGTAAATACTATGGTCTAATTTAAGACACTACTGCGCGATTTTACATACTTGTGTCCAATTTTAGAAATTGGTGTCCGATTTGAAACAGTAGTGTCCGATGTCAGATAGTGCCTGATTTTGAACACAAGTGCTCGATCTTGGATGCTAGCAATCGGTTTGGATAATAAGGTCGGATTTTGGACACTAGTGATCAGTTTTAGACACTAGTGTCCATTGACTGCTTCTGGAACCAACGTCAACATACCTACTGAAAATA